TTCTTTCTTTTTTTTTTTTTTTTTTTTTTTTTTTTTTTTCTTGGGTAAAGTTTTGGTGCAAAACAGGGAAGTATTCAGATGGAGTGGAGTTCATTTTTTATAAACCAATTTTCTTCAATGCGTATATAACAAGCAATGTGTAGAACCTGTTGGGATGATCTTATTTGTCTAAACCATTATATATTTGCTTGCAGGTATTACAAAAGGCTTTGGAGGTATGGGATCTCCAAGTCATTGCTCTCAACTCACCAGCTGCTGAACTTGCACAGATTGATCCTGAACTGGAGAGTGCATTTATTTGTCACTTGCAAAACCATTGGTTTTGTATTAGGAAAGTGAATGGGGAGTGGTACAATTTTGATAGTCTATATGCAGCCCCACAGAATCTTTCTAAGTTTTACCTTTCAGCTTACTTGGACTCTCTAAAGGGCTTCGGTTGGAGCATTTTTATTGTGAGGGGTAATTTCCCCAAGGATTTCCCCATCTCATGCTCTGAAGCATCCAACGGTTATGGTCAATGGCTTACCCCTGAGGATGCTGATAGGATAACCAAATCGTGCAACTCAACCCAAGCCCGCCCTCCTCAAGGAATAAACTGGACAAAGCCGCAAGATACGTTTCTTTCATATGGAGATGCAGAAATGCTGATGGACGTGGAGGATGAGGACTTCAAGGCTGCAATAGCTGCTAGCTTGATGGATTCCCCAGCAGTCATGGCAGCAGGAGTTGCTAACCCCCATAATGAACCTGCCGTTTCCTTCACCCAAGCTGCCTCTCCCCAGAATAATATACCTGTTGCTTCCCATGAAACTGCCAACACTCAACATGTACCTGTTTCCCCAAAAGCTTTCACCCACCAAGATGTTCCTGCAGTTGCTCCCAAAGCTGCCACCCTCAAAGATGTACCTGTAGTTTCCACCAAACCTGCCTCCCCCCAAGACATGCCTGTTGTTACCCCTGAAGCTTCCATCTCCCAGAATGTACGTGCACTTTCCCCCGATGCAGCTGCTACCTTACATGCAGTTTCCGCCGCCAAAGCTACCACCCCCAATAATCTTACGGTCTGCACTGAAGTTGCTGTTCATAAAAACGAGCCTGCAAATGAATCTGTAGGCAATGCAGACGCTGCCTTTGATGAAAGTGGACTTGCAGATAATGCAGAATGCGCTGTTTCGAGCCCCCGAAAGAAAATTAGTCGTACGATGTGGGAGCTGTATGAGGAAGAAGAGTGCTTTCTGCCTTGAATATGATTTTTGGTTCAAGACGGATGAGAACAGGATTGACCCATTGACAAGAATAAGAGAATTTGCAGGAGAATGGGAACCTCCGGATCCTTGTTGAGCTTGAGGTTAGCTAGTTGAAGTCGAATCCATGTTTTACAGTCGTTCTGTGCAGGGTAACTATATTCACTTACTTTTTTCAATTTTCGGATTGATACTGTATAAATTCTTCAACAAATAAGCCGTCGACTTGGCCTCTGAATTGTCACAAATGTTGGATTACAGAGATGTTACTTCTTTGAAAACATTTTTAAACCTCTAAGTATCCCCCGTTACTCATGTTCAAATCAAAACATGTTATAAACTGAAACTTGTGTGTTAAGATAAGAATAGCCCCACTCGAATCTGATGATCTGAATTAATGAAGTGCTTCCAGAGTTGGTTGGTAACTCAATCAAAATACATTTTTTTATTAGGTTAGGTCGGGTCTATCATTCAACTAAATATATAATAAATTCACTATGCAAACAATTAAGTTGCAGTTATAAAAGAAAAAAAAAAAAAAAAAAAAAAA